AACGTGCAGATTTCTTATATTTTTTCTTCTACCCTGAAGATGGAGGCGATACGTTCCTCCGAAACGTCGGTTAACACCACATATACACAGTGCCAAATCCCAGAAGACTGCTTTCTTCTTAACAGGAAACTGCTCGAGACAAGCTGGTCTTAAAAAGGGAGCAGATGTAGTGGTCGAAGAACGGACCACGGGAAGAAAGGAAACAATGAGCCAGAAAAAAAACACGTTGCAAGCATAGCCTTAGAAGGAAAGGACTGGTGATGCACTGTTAGGCTATTCGGGATGAACAGCCTTAAGAAGTGAGCAGTGTGAGATGTCTAACCGTTGCTGGGCAACGGAAGGTAGAACGATATACCACAAAGACAGACCCTTGATAAACGGTCGGTTGCCAAGTTACACAACAATCGAAATGAGGTTACGCAACAGTAAGGAAAGCGGTGTTTGTCTGTGCCGAGCCGAAACACGCTGGTTACTACACAGCGTTGCCCAGCAACACCTTTGTAAACATGGCGTCACGCAACAGGGGAGCCTGTGCAGCGACTGTTGTTAAGCAAACAGTAAACACGATGTCACACAACACTGAAAGTTATCACATAACTGTTTTCCGTGTTGTCAGTGCGGAAGCTACATAACAGGAGTATTCGTCAGTGAGCGGGAGTAACCAGTCAGTTGCAGTCCAGCATTCACCAGACTGAATGGAAGCAGAAGTGAGTGTGATACTGCAGATAGCAGTAGTTGTGAAACTGTAAATTGTGTAAATGTAAGGGCGAATGTGCAATAAGTTCCCTAGTTCCTGAACAGCGTGAAGTTATTTGTCGTGTAACATATACCCAACACGTGACAATATGTTATGGACTAGTGAAGGTTGGTACTAAACTGTGAAACCTATGAAAGTTCATCCACAGCAGCACAGTACTGGGAGATCTCATACATGCCTATACAAGGTGTTAATTGCGTAATAATATACGGAGAAGATTAAATGCTGCAAACATATTTTTGTGAATATAACTGGTCAGTGTCCATGTTAAACCAAAGCTGGATACTAAACATGCATTACATTCTACTTTTTTACACTTTTAGAATATTTGCATGTATTTTTTACTCCAAGAAAGGCTATCCAATAAGAAACATAAATTTGTTCATATTTATGTATTTCTCAGTCCAAGAGACACTATGTGGAGATCCTAACTAGCACCAAGGAGTTGAGTCCTTTTTGAGAACTCACAAGTCATTCAGCTATTCAAGAATTTCTCAACATTTTATAAAACCTGAAGGTGCAGTACCATGTTCACAAGAGCCCTCTACTGCTCCCTATCCTAAGCCAGATTTATACAGTACATAATACCCCATTCGATTTCTCTCACACTTTAAAATTATCCTCAGACCTATCACTAGGTTTTCATCATGGTATCTTTCCTTCTGGTTTTCCCACCAAAATCCTGTATGCCCCACCTCTTGTTCTCCTTAATTTGACCATTCTAATTACATCTGGCAAACAGAACTTTCTCCAACCTCCTATCATTTCATCTCTCTTCAGTCCAAATATTACTCAGCTCCCAGTTCACAAACACCCCCAGTCTATGTATTTCATCTATGTCAAACATCAAATTTCACACCCATACAAAACTAGAGGAAAAACTGTTTTGTATAATTTAACTTTTGCATTTTGAGACAGCAGACAATAAGGCAAAAGGCTCTGGACTGAATGGCAGCAAGCATTACCCAGATTTAATCTGCTCTTTATTTCCTTGGGAATCAAATTTTGACTTGTTACTGTCGTTCCCAAGTACTTTAACTTTGCAACATTTTCAAAGATCTATTACCTGTCTATTTGTTATGATTTTGTCCTGCATTCTAGTGACGAGACTTCAACCTATACATAAGGGTTCCCAGTTTTTAGTTCTAGACCAACCTCTTTACTAGCATCAATTAGGGCTTCTTTGTTTTTCTTTATAGTGTTTATGTTACATTATGAGCATAAACCAGGAGTTCTTTTGTTCTAGATGTTTGCTGCTGATTTCAATTTCTAGATTTATGTACAAACCATATAAACAACAAATTTATTTCAAGATATGTCCAAATGGCACAACATCCCTTATCCAGAATTCATAAAATATCCTATTGTTATACAATTATACTGATAAATATGCCAACTTTCAAGCACTTTATATGCAAGTAACAGTGGAGGTTAGGGAAACCTACATTGCAAACCTACATGAATGTAATGGAACATGATATCGAATTGAATGTTGCTCCATGTGTGCCTCACAGTTGATTGTTCTTTTAACTAGGAGCACTGTTTACCACCCGAACAAGGAATTTCAAACTATTGCGAGAATTGTTTACGTTGTTCCGTCATGTTTACTACTGCTAAAATCACATGATCAATATGGCGTGGCGAGAAATATATGAAACAACATGCCATGTATGACTCATTTTCTAAGAAGTGTAACTTCCGTACGATGGGAAAGTAGAAGAATCCACCAGTTTCAACCATTCTAAACGATCTAACAGGTAAGACTATTATATAGTATTATGAACATTTGTGAGCATTATCCATTTAAAAACACTTTTCACAAGAACACTCGATATATTTTCAGAAACAGTTCGCACTCGGTGTTCACTAGCATCACATTTTTTCTGAGCAAAGGATACACTTGTAATCTCTGTCCCATGTCTTGTATAAAATTTGCAGCTTGCTGCCGATATGATAATTCCTTATCGACCTCGAACCCACATTTTCTGCTCGGAGTACTTGCAAGTTGTTCTTTTGTAAAGTACCACTTTTCGTCCGCCGCCATTTATTCTAGAACGAAGGACGTACACACTACTTTCAAGAAGGAAGTAGTAAATAGCGGATGTGATTGGTTGGTGGGTTAGGAATTTTTAGGTAGTACAAATTATGTGATCAGAGATGAACCAAGCTTGTTCTTTTTAATACATAATATTTATTTTCGATTGATAATAAGACACAAAATAATATCTGTCAATGGACACATTATGAATTTAAGTGCTCATGCATTTGCTCAAATGGACAGAGAACGCCATATTTTGGGTCGGTTTTGTGTGGTGCATTCATGGTGGTGAGTAAAGAAAATTGCACAGTTTTCCTGTTTTAAAGGTAAACAGAATACCTGGTATTTGTATTTAGCGCATGTCCACATACGAGAATTTGTTGTGAACTATAATTCTGTGTATGGATGGAGAAACGACCACAGGTTTATATGCAGTATATAGAAATTTGCGCATACAAAATGGCGGGGCTTTGACTTACTGTTTCAATAAATGTCATTGACCCTCCGTTACCAATATTAAGAACTAATTTTAGTAATTATATTTTCGTATGTGTTGGTTCTGGTTTCTGTAGACAGTCGGTGGTAATAGACGCTCTGAATGTTTCTTGTGCCGTCTGTTAATACAATGTGTGACCTTGCACAAATAACTGAAAGTAGTACTATCACGGATTACTAAATATAGATAGGCAACTGAATGGAGGGCACGGATTACTCTCCGTTAGGATCACTAGGTGAATTTAATGCTCTGAATTGTTAAATAATGTAGAGAGCATGTACATACGTGTTGAGTGCCTTTTAAATTTAAATAGGTTAGTTGCTTTTATTGCTCTTACGATTTGATTGTAGAGTGTGTCAGGCGTAAATTAGCGGCAGTCCGTCCGTGGGATTGTCGATGCTTGAAGGAACAATCACATATCAGACGTTTATACAAATATTATTGTTGCTGTAATGGACATACGACGAGCTTCTAACAACTAAAACGCACTGACAGTGTTCCAGTCTGTTGTGCCTTCCTCAGTGCTTAGTAGCACTTCAGACAATGGAAATACTTCCGCTTCTTTACTGTCTTCTCCGTGTATCTTTCTCGCTGTATCTACCTCTTATATAACCTTGGGTCGGTTTCCACAGAAAACACTTCTTATACCTAACAATAGATGTCCATTGTCACGAATTGTAATAGGTTTTACCTAGCAACGTTCTCTTTAACCAGAATGACCCAGAATCTGTCTCTCCAGGAAACGTGTTTGCATAGCCGTTGCTTAGCAACGGATGGTTCAAAGACTGTGATTAACGACTAACGTGACAGATGCATTGTCGCTAGGAAGTGCATGACCCAGTGGGCATTAGACCTACCGTGGTCTGCGCTGATTGGCTAGTGCTTGATTCAGTGTGGATGACTCCCCTCCCCCACAGAGATAGTTGCTCAGCTGTTGAAGCTAACAAGGAAATACACGTGGCATTCAGAGGGTTCGGAACATGTAGTTCATGTGACAGGCTGTGTCAGGATTGCATTGACCACAGAGGTGAAGGTGGTGGTCTCACGGCCAGTCTCTTTCAGCATGTGTGCTGGATTCTCTGGGTCGGTTGCTAGAAACAGTAGCTTGCTGGGGATTCTTAGTAGCTCGCCATATGCAAATTCAGATACTGATGCCTGCAGGTCCTGTTTGAATGTCATGCAGATTCCAAGGAGAACCAGGGGAAGCGCCTCTGTCCTGTGTTAGTCTGTGTGGCACATGATGGCTACCCTCAGTGCACACTGGAAGCATTTCATAAGTCTATTAGCTGTGGGTTGTTGTCCATGAGAGCTCAATGCCATACAGCTGGGCCAGGGAGAGGAAGAGTTAAGATTCAAATTAATGTTTCTGGCCAGTGCTGATGGTCTGCGGACAACTGAAGCAGGATATCCGGCCAATCAGTAGAGCATGTGCCACAGCTGTGATGTCCAGGATGGTGATGACTTCTGGCCAGCAAGTGAAACAGTCAGTTGCCATGAGGTAGTATGTGCAGCCCACTGATGTCTGAAGGGGTCCCATGAGGTCCATGTGGATATGAAGAAAATTGGCTGCTGGCAGTGTGAAGTCACCTAATGGAGTGACTTTGCAAGCACTGGCAGGAGTGGCAAGGCCATGCCCAGGTGTGGCAGTCCTTCTGTACACCTGGCCACACAAAACACTCTGCGACCAGCTTCGCCATTATTTTGGTGCCTGGGTGTGACAGATCATGGATGGGCTGGAACACTTGGAGTCGTGGGGGAGCTGGAATGACCTAGATCACCAGACATATACTGCTGTAGTAGGTCTTGCATTTGACCACTGTCCATGCTCCGTTGGGGTCACCAGTATGGGATTGTCGATGCTTGAAGAGACGACCACATATTAAACTTCTATACAGATATTTACTGTTACTCTAATGGACTTATGAACAAGCTTCTTACAACAACTAAACCACACTCCCAATATTCCAGTCTGTTGTGCCTTTGTTTAGTAGCACTTCGGACAGTGGAAATTTCTCCATTTCTGTACTGTCTTCTCGGTGTATCTTTCAAAACGAAGTCAGAGTCAAAGTTACTTTACAACTGGTATTTTACCACCACTCAGTTCATCCGTGGTGTCAAGCCCCTTGAGACCCACGACCAAAGATTATATTTCTGTGGTTGAACTCTAGCAGTTAACAGTCCATAGGTAACATCCTTTCTGATGAGAAGATGGGTTTGTCTCATATGAGTATGCTTGGCCTTTTGTTAAGTGTACACATACAGCATGTTGTTGAAAATTCTTCCTTTTGCACTACACACAAATCCTCTGTCAATACAGGCTTTACAGAGCAGATCATGCCTATCTTACGCATCTTATGTTACAATGGCAGCTTAGTCACTTGAACAGTCATAAGCTTGACCACCACCATGTTTAAGCTTCTTATATTTGTTTGTGTCTGGCCTCTCCTTGGAAGGAAGGTTGAAAGCTGTATGCAAATCATGGACTGGTGTGCACCTTGGGAAATTTCCAGTGGTGCACAGAACCATGTTTTGCATGCACTGCAATAATAAGATATAGGTGTCTGCTGCTAATTCCCAGGCGTGAAAAGGGTAAGTCATTACTGATCTAATCAGTGCTTTATGGAGGGTTAGTTTAATGTTGGCACTTAAAGCACCCACTTCTGAATAGGAAGTAGATTCTAATAAATGTTCTGAAGGTCTTGCCTTCAATCATTTCTGTGCGCAGCCTGCACATAATCCCCTTATCAAAGATTACACTGAGATATTTTACATGATTGACAGACAGGTATTCCATCCATTCAATGTAAGATGACCCTCAGGGGGCAGTGTATCTTTAAAGACAAAGTCAGAGTCAAAGTTACTTTACGACTGGCGGTTTACCGCCAATCAGTTCATCTTGGCTTCAGGCCCCTTGAGGCCCACGACCAGAGATTTTTTTTCAACTGAACTCTTGTAGTAATAGTCCTTATGTAACATCCTCTCTGATGAGAAGATGGTTCTGTCTCTTATGGATACACTTGGCCTTTCGTCAGGTGTATATTTCACACAAGTAACATGTTATTGAAAATTCTTCCTTTTGCATTACGCAGAAGCCCTCTGTCAGTAGTGGCTTTACAGAGCAGATCATGCCTAACTTACTTATCTTATGATACAACTTAGTCATTTGAACGGTTATAAGCTTGATCACCGCCATTGTATCTTTATCACTATATCTTCCTCTTATATAACCCCAGGTCGGACCTCATGGAAAACATGTCCCTTGCCTAACAGTAGATGTCCGCTTTTGTCACATACCTAGCTGTGGGCTGTTTACGCAGAATCTGTCTCCATGGAAACTTGTTTGCCGAGCTGTTGTGTAGTCACGGATGGTTCCTAGACTGTGATTGATGATTGGTGTGTCAGACATACACTGCTGCTGGGCAGCGCACAAACCAATGGGCTTTGGAGCTGCCGCGGCCCGTCCTGATTGGCTAGTGCTTGATCTATTGTGGGTGGCTCCCACAAATCAAAGATAAACTGTCACTGTACAGTAGTTGGGAATTGATGGTAGCATGTAAATACATAGGAAGATTCATTATATCTGGTGGGACATACATCCCAACTTTAAATGTTAAATAAAGGTTCCGTACCTATGTAGAGAAGTGAATGGAAATTCTTAATTTATTTCCTGTATTGAATTTGTTTCTGTAATTAGACAGCTTCTTGAAATGCTGATAATTATTTTGAATTGTGCAGAGTTGATAACTTTCTCTTGCAGGCAGTAGGGAACATGTTTAATTCAGTGAAACACAGTAGTGCCCTTATGAACATACCTTCATGCAACTACTTGGCACATGAGTGCAGTGGACAGTGTGTGGAGGGATATGACTACTGCATCAGACACATCTTGGAAGACAAGACTGCCCCCTACCGACTCTGTGGCTATGTGTATTCAGGCAATGGGCGCCGATGTGTTATGCCTACCCTAAAGGGAGATAAACGGGAATCTGGGTATGTACTTTTTGAACAGGAAATGGCAACAAGGTGTTATTTCAGTTTCCCAGGTAATTCTCGTTTTCAGTGGTAATCGATTTATTTCTGACTTAAATAACACCTACAATTTATTGTTTACTTAGTTCATTCCTCTGATTTATTCTCCGTTCCAGTACAGCCTCTCACATGAGTCACGCAGTTTGAGTAATGTGTATTGACAAATGTAAACAGTATCCTTGTACAGTAGACTGTTGACATAGGGGGTTTTGTGGGCAGCGTCACAACCTGAATTATAAGCTACTGGCCTGATAAGTGATATTGACATTTGTAGTTTTGGAATTATTGTTACTGCAACTTGTGTTTCAGCAATGCTGCTTTCATGGATAGCTGTAAATTACTTGCATTTGTGCCTCCTTATGAAAATATCCAGATATGATGAGTGTTCTCCCCACCTCCACCCAGAATATTGGCCAGATGCAATGAATAAAGGTGTTCACATTTAGTCTGTTGTAACGATGTCATCACTTCGTTAATATTTTCGAGCAGTTTGCTCAGCTTTGGCACTGCTACTTCACAGGAATCATCACTGTTGTTTTTTTTAGTTACTTCCAGTATCACTGGCTTCAGGGTCACTGGTTGTCTTCCTGTTCTTCACAGTTGCGATACTCTCCTCCGTAAGATGTGGCATGACTGGATTTTTTTAATCTACTTCAGTTCATGTTGCGAGGTCATCTGCTTTTAAATTACTTCTCAATGTACTGTGTGGGCTTATGTACTGGTTTGGAAATGGATTTAAGTTGTCTTCTGTGACATGTTTACCAGCACACTTTTTCCAGCAGTTTAGAGTAGTAGTAGTAGTCATAATTTTCCCCTGAGCTAAATCGATACTGAATAGAAGATACCTTAATCCATAGTTTGCAATTCAGGGTTTTAAACTCTACCAGGTACCACTTTTGGGGGGGGGAGTGGAAATCACATCCCATCCAAGCACTGAAACTTTTTGTATAACACAGGAAGAAATTTTTTGTTTTTATGCTAGAAACATGAACTTCAGCTTTTACTGATGCAGAGTGGCTTCAGTGTGAGATTACCAGTCTTGTTGGAGGACAAGTAATTTGTTAAATTGAAGCACTTGAGCTTTCAAAATTAATCTATTTATAGGCACTTTGTTACTGCACCTTAGTAGGGACTAATTGTACAGATAATTGCCTATGTAATTATTTTCACAAAGTCAAGTCATCTTCCTTTTAGCCCTATGTCATCTTCTGCAGAGTGTACAAATGGATGTAATTTCCTTTGTCATCCAGCTGCATATTGTTCCTTCTGCAATTCCACACTTGCAGAATACACTAGCTGTTGATTCAGTGCTCTTAACTCTTTTGATAATTTTTAATTTCTCCATGATTGTGTAATTTATTCATTTGGTCATCATTACTATGTAGGATGTATGTACATTTAAACTGAGAAACAAGAGCCTCGGATTTTAGATGTACTTTCAACAGTCTCTCATGGGAATCAGCAGGTTGGCATTTTTATCACTGAAGTATCAGATATTAAATCTGATGGTGATGTGTGTTAAATCTGCACAAATACATCTGGTGCCCAAGGTAAGATGTATTGAATGCTCTCTCCCTGGGGAACTATTCTTCAATTTAAGTATGCATGTCAAGTCCTGTCACGAATTAATTTCCCAAAAGTTACATACATTAGTCATTGCCACCTATTTCTTGTCATAGACTGAGGAAATAGAACAGTTGTGCCAGATAGTTGCTTTGCATATCTGCACTTCTAAATTTGTATCCTTATTCGTCAAGTCATAGTTTGGTGTCATTGCCATAGTTACTGTGTACTGTCATTGTTGCTCAGTTTCTGTGGTTGTTTTAAATATACCTCAATGGTAACCTTATGATGAAGAACAACAGTGGATGCATGAGTAACTTTGCAGTCATTACAAGTGGAAAGAAGTTGAAACAACTTTAGCTTAATGTGGAATGACTCTTTCATCTTCCAGTGTCCATAATTCATAGTTCTGATACTCTCCTAGGGATGTATGTAGGATGCAGAAAATAATTCTATGCTCTTGGTGCAAAGTCATGCCAGTGCTAGTCTTATTTTTTTTCCTTCACTTTTTTTAGATCAAAAATATTTTCTCTTTGTAGGGCATTAGAACATATGACAGAATTATAAAAAATGCAGTTTGTCTTATGCATTAACATTCAGAGGAGAGTGCATTTACACATTTCAAGTTAATACTTAATCTATAAAAGCTCTGTGTTTTGCAATAAAAGGTAGGATTTTGGAAGACTTATGGTCTCTGGCACCTACTGTACATGGTTCCATTTTGCAAGCATTAGCACAACAAACTTCATTGTCTGTTTTAAAACATGCCGTGAGTTCAGAGACACAAACTAGAAGATGGGGAATGCTGCCAAATATGGCAGTTCTTTTATCAGTTCATGCATTAGGGAAAAGTGTTCGTCATTCTTCTCCATATTGGACATAGTTGCTTGCCAACAGGGGCAGGAACTTCTACAATGTATTCAGTGCACTTTAACATATTTTAAATACTGTAATGAACAGTTATTACATTAATTGATTAAAACAAATAAAAATTGTCATTTTCCCTTTCAGATTCTGTGCAGAGCATGCACGCAAGGCACAGCTAGCCAGGCAGAAGTCGTCACGCAGACATGTACCACCACCCAGTTCTGAGTCTCTTCTTCTTAGCCTCTCACACTACAGCAAGACAGAATACAACTCTGCAGCCGCAGCACCTGGTATAGTACAGTTATGCTTGACATTTGTATGTGTACCTACGAGATGATTTTAGTATACCATTTATGAGAATGAAATGGAAGTACACTAATACTTATGAAATAGAGAAAATTATTAAATCCCTGAAAACAAAGGATTCTGGTGGATATGATGAAATAACAAGTAGAATAATCAAATCAAGTTTACCATTTATAATCTCACCATTGACACATATTTGTAACGCTGCATTACGCCATGGAGAATTTCCGGATAGATTAAAATATACCACAGTCAAGCCTCGTTTTAAAAAAGGTAATAGGCAGGAAATGACAAATTACAGACCAGTATCGTTATCGACTACATTTTCAAAAGTATTTGAAAGATTTATGTATGATAGACTAATTACACATATTGAAAACAACAACTATTCTGGTGGATGAAAAGTATGGATTTAGATCTCACTCTTCTATTGAAAAAACTACCTTTACATTAATTCATAAGATACTCATAGCCCTGAACAGTAAGAAAATAGTAGGCGGCATATTTTGTGATTTACAAAAGGCGTTTGACTGTGTCAATCATACAATATTAATGCATAAACTAGAATTCTATGGAATTACAAGGAAATTTTAAGTCATTAATCAATTCTCATTTGAGACACCCTCCAGTTTTGAAGGGAAGCTGTGAGTATATTGAATAAGCAGTCGTGGACAGCCAACAAGAGGTGGTCCTCCAGCTTGAGGGCTGGGCGTGGGGCTAACAACTCCTCACCATAAGAAATAAGTATGTTACAAAAATTAACACAAAGCTTTGGACCTGGATGGATTCCTTGGATAAACGACCTAAGCTAAAGAAAATGGATATGAGATTTGGCACTTGGAATGTTCGAAGTTTCTGTAGGGCAGTTTCACTCAGGGCAGTGGCAGAGGAAATCTTAAAATATAAGTTAGATTTAGAGGGAGTACAGGAGGTCAGATGGGATGGAGGTGGCATCGCACCAGCAGGAGACTATACATTTTTCTATGGAAGGGGGAATGGAAATTATGAATTAGGTACAGGTTTTTTTGTACATAAGAGAATTGTATCAGCAGTTAAGAGGGCAGAGTTCGTTGGTGATAGGATGTCATATATAATACTAAAAGGTCGCTGGTGTGATATCATTGTTATGAATGTTCACACCCAAACAAGATAAAATTGATGACATAAAGGATAGATTCTATGAAGAACTGAACATGTATTTGATAAATTCCCGACGTACCCTATGAAAATTTTGTTAGGAGATTTCAATGCCAAAGTAGGGAGGGAAGACATTTTCAAACCAACAATTGGGAATGAGAGTTTGCATGAAATTAGTAATGATAATAGAGTAAGAGTAGTAAACTTTGCCGCATCAAAAAACTTACTGTCAGAAGTACAATGTTGCCACATTGTGACATCCATAAATTTACTTGGACATCTGATTGGAAGATACACAATCAGATAGACCATATTTTGATAGATAGGCACTCAAGTATACTTGAAGTCCAATCATTCAGGGCAGCAGAATGTGATACTGACCCCTACCTGATGGTGGCAAAGGTTAGGGAAGGACTGGCAGTGAGCAAACATACAACATGGAGAGGTTCAATCTCAAGAAATTAAATGAGGTAGAGGGTGAAGAGAAGTATTGTGTTCATATCTAAGATAGGTTCACGGCTTTGGAAAACTTGGAAACTAAGGTGGATGTTAATAAAGCTATAAACTATTAGAGAGAATATAAAAATGTCTGCCAAAGAGAGTCTAGGTTATTATGAACCAAAGAAGCATAAGCCATGGTTCGATGAAGGATGCTCAGAATTATTAGATCAAAGAAAGCAGGCCAGATTGCAATTGTTACAGAATCCAAGCGAGTTAGATGGGGATAATCTGAACAATATAAGACGTGAAACCAGCAGGCATTTCAGGAATGAAAAGAGGGAATATCTGAAAGACAAAATTGATGAGCTTGCAATGAACAGTAACAACAAGAATATTAGAGACCTGTATAGAGAAATAAATGACTAGGAGGGGTTACCAACCTAGAAGTAACTTAGTGAAGGATGAGAATGGTGATCTGCTTGGAGATTCCCACAATATTTTGAATAGGTGGAGAACTACTTGTCTCAGTTATTGAATGAACAGAAGGTCAGTGATGTTAGGCTGATAGAAATACATGCAGCTGAATTGTTAATACGTGATCCCAGCCCTTTTTAGTTTGAAAGTGCTATTGCAAAATTGAAAAGATATAAATCGCCAGGTAGTGATGAAATGCCGGCAGAACTTATTCAAGCAGGAGGTGAAATATTTCGTTCTAAGATCAATAAGCTAATTCCTTCTATTTGGCATAAGGAAAAATTGACTGATCAGTGGAAGGAATCTATTATTGTACCAGTTCACATGAAGGGTGGTAAAACTGACTGTAGTAATTATTGGTGGATATCACTGCTATAAACTTATACAAAACTTTATCCAATATTCTTCTCTCAAGGTTAAGTCCATACATAGATGAAATTATTGGGGATCATCAGTGTGGGTGTCGACATAACAGATCAACTACAGATCAGATCTTTTGCATTCATCAGATATTGGAGAAAAAAGTGGGAGAACAGTGAGACAGTACATCAGCTATTCCTAGACTTCAAGAAAGCCTATGATTCAGTTAGGAGGGAAGTATTGTACAATATTCTGATAAGAGTTTGGGATACCCATGAAACTAGTTAGGTTGATTAAAATGTGTTTAAACGAAACGTATAGTAAAGTCGATGTAGGTAAACATTTGTCTGATAGATTTCCTATCCGGAATGGTTTAAAACAAGGAGATGCTTTTTCGCTATTCCTTTTCAACTTTGCTTTAGAATATGCCATTAGGAAGGTCCAGGGAAACCAGATGGGACTGTAATTAAATGGGACACATCAACTGTTGGCCTATGCCGATGATGTGAATCTACTGGGTGATAATGTAGATACCATAAAGAAAAATACACAAAGCTTAATTGACGCAAGTGAAGAGGTTGGTCTGGAAGTAAACACTGAGAAAACTAAGTATATGTTGCTGTCTTGTCACCAAAATGCAGGGCAGAATCATGATATAAAGATAGGAAACAGATGTTTTGAAAATGTGGCACTGTTCAGATATTTGGGAACAACGATAACAGATTGAAACCTGATTCAGGAGGAACTTAAGAGGAGCTTGAACTTG